TATCGGCCCATTAGCTCAGTTGGTTAGAGCGTCGTGCTAATAACGCGAAGGTCGCGGGTTCGATCCCCTCATGGGCCACAAACTTTTTTATTTTGTCAATATTTTTTGTTATAATAAAAACAGATACAATCGCCACGACAAAATTACATAATTTATTAAAGAAAGAAACATATTATAGAATGTTTTTTTTTTGTAAACAAAACAGACAATAAAATTCTTGTTAAGGCGCAACACAAGTTATTAAAATATTATGTTAAAATGATGATAATAAAACATCCTGAGATGATAGATATAATAGGTATCAGACTTTACAAAAACACGGCCGTAAAACTTATCTATCAAGCCAAAATAATCTAAATCAACATTCGAGTGAATCAACAAAAAAGTACTAAGATTTTCCATTAGTGGTACTTAGCAACTGCCTTTCCTAACCATTTGCTTACGAGTTCATGATCCAAAACCGGTAATTACCGGTTACGAGTCGACCTTACGGATGAATTACGACAGTGCACGCTAGACCGGCGTGACTATCCTTGCTAGCACCTGCCACTTAAAAAAATACTCAAACGTCTCAGTTTTTAAATTCAATTTCCTTTGAAACTTAACGTGCAAAGTCCAACTTCAATCATACATTATGAACTCCACCTTAACACTACGAATTTAGGTGTAAAATTGACTAATAGAGAATAAAGGTGTGAACAAGCACGTTACTATTTGCGTCCAGTTTCACAGGAACTCCGAAAAAGACCTTCAAAGCTATAATAATAGTTCCAAACAAACTGGTTTTCAGAATTTGGTTCCTCATTTGCAAATAGTGTGCTAATCATTATGTTTTAACCAGTGTAATCTGGATTTTAGATTATTTAAAAGTCAAAACAGTCGCCTTGACTTTGTAACTATTTTTAATGTGGAAGTGCTTTTTAAAACAAACAACGGACTTATTAATTATGCATACTAAAGACGTTTTCCTTTAAAATAGAGTTGGTACACGAGTCCCGAATGCTAAATTACGCGTTATTTATTTAAAATATGAGTTGTAACACTATTTTATGGTTGCAAATTTTTTTCAAAATAATTTCAGTACCTATGAAACATAAAATACAGAGTGGTTCAGGTATAGTTGAACGATTCTGTAACATATTGATAGTAGCGCCCTCCTGTCAATGTCATAACTGGGATCTGGGACGGTGACCTAGAAATTAGCACGGCACTAAAGAAATATATTCAAAACTGCCACGCGGTCTCGTGCTAGATGGGCGTCTTAAAGGCCACCTTCTATCAACGGGAGCGCGTGGTAAGTAACTTGCTTCTGAATGTATTGTAACTTCCTACTTTTTTATATTTTTAAACCGGCAGACAGTGGTGACTGAGTTTGTTGCGGCGCTTCTTCTCAGCACTTGCCAAATGTTTGTCTCGAAGCGCTGGTAGGGCAAAAAAAGAATGAGACATGTATAGGCTCCTTAAGAGCATTTGACGATTTGCAAGAACTAATTTAATTAGTCTAAACAAATAAAGAAAATTTTGATTTTGATTTTTAGTGTTAGACAACTACAACCCGGTCAAGTTGAAGTTAACTGCGCACCTAGCAGCTATTACGTCACATCGACGCTTTGGTACGTACGGGGCGAACGCGGGAAGATGTGCAAGAGAGAGTCGCATTCAGCGATGTGCGCATTTAACTTTATTAAATACCGGGTGATTTAATCAATGTAACTTCGACCGTGCTGCCACCACAGGTATTGTGTAAAATAAATATAACAATGTTAATTTTCGGCACGTTACTTGTTTGTCATAGAAAAAGTTTATGATACCTATGGAAGGTGGAAGTAATTTGTAGTAGCACAAAAATGTTTCTTAAACTACGAGATAACTTGGTCAAAACATGCGTAGGTATAATTAAAAATAACCATTAATTAAAATGATACATTTATTAACGCTAATAATTCACAATATCATACAATAGTAACAATTATATTATTATACAAATCTAATTACATAGTAATAAAAATAATTACAGTTACCATAGGCACTTCATAAGCGATAGTCTGGGTGATAAAATGTACAGCAACAGCACATCAAGCAATATGGCATCTTATTGCCGTTAGAATAAGAGCTATTTTGCAACAAAAATGGATAGTCTGATGCGCTGACAACTGTACCAGAGTAAATACAAATGAGTAGGTCACTTTTGGTGTCACGAAGTATTTGACGCTGACTGTACATAAAGTTCATAATAAATTAATACATAGTTTTACGTGAAGTCATTTAGCGTGGATTAGCGGTGAGTTGCCCCGAATTTTGTCAGTGTGTGCGTGCGCGCCACATACGTATTGGCGCGCGCTCACATACAAACCGCGCTCGGGCGTTTCTATAAGGATGACCTACTCATTTCTATTTACTCTGACTGTACGGTCAGCGTCAAATACTTCGTGACACCAAAAGTGGCCAAAAAGTTGATGACACAACCTTATTCTAATTATAACAAAGACGTGTTGCGAACTCTGGCTTCTTTGGGTGTCACGAACTATTTGACGCTGACTGTACATAAAGTTCATAATAAATTAATACATAGTTTTACGTGAAGTAATTTTGTATTTTTTGAGCCGTTTCGTTTATCAATGTACAAAAGAATATTATTTATAAATGAATGTCGATAATTAGTTTTTTTATAAGATAGGCTATGCCTTAATCTAACTAAATGCAAGCAATTTAAAACATTTATCGCATTATTAGTTAGAAAGATAGATGTAATTTTATGGACAATACAATAATATTATTGTAAAAAATGAGATTTCTTTACATATAATACACATACATACTCAAATAATATGCTTAAAATGATGATTACATAATTGTTTCGAATATTATTTAATGTGTCTTAAAATCGAATGAAAATGATGATTCCCTTTTCTCAATCTTGCAACCAGCTAGGCTTCTCCAAAATGAATGAAAATGTTACAACTACCAATCTCAGAGACTGTAAACTGATTACAACTAAATTATTGTTTTTTTTTTTCACAACACTGGTGTTATCCATTTTGCGCCTCCTTTTAACTTACTACTGAGACTAAAATTACAAATCAAAGTTTGACAAATGACAATATCATAAAATATCATGCTTAAGCTTAATTATAATTTACAAAGTATGTTATGAGACGCATATTCAATATTTTTGAATGACAATTAGTTGATTTCAAAGCTTCTAATCTAAAAATGTAATTTTAATTGAAATTCCGTCGGACGTCATTTGGCTGAAACGAGACGATACTATAACGGATTGTTTTACAGAAGTTGTGTTTTGAAAATATTGGTGTCAACTACCCAATCGCGGTTTCTCAAGTGAGACGTCATCAAACATACTGGTAATAACGGGACTATTCCCACCTCTCGTTCCCACCGCTGCAACTCCTATGGAGCCAGGAGCTTGACCGCCACAAAAACCCAACCAATGAAAGTCAAGTTTGTCCCGAGGGAAATTTAAACTGTCATTGGACCCGCATCGAAATTAATCAGAAGAACATAGGAGGAGTTCGAAATTAAGGTTCGACTCCCCTCCATTGCAAAGCGGATGACAGGTGACAAAAAAACTAGTTATAAGTGTGACGTCATTTAAGTCAAAGGCTATTAGGTGCAGGTACCTGCGATGAGGCGGCTTAGGTGTCTATGACGAGGAGTGCGCACGCGCAGTTTAATCTCTATTGAGCCAAAAGGCTAAAATGGACTGTGTTTTTAAAGTTGGTATTATTGGTATCAACTACCCAATAGCTGCATTTAATGGGTTCTGCGCTAAGTGTGGCGTCATTAAACTTAGTCAAAGGCTAGAATGGAGTGTTTTTATAATATTATTAATCAAGTATTTGTGTCAACTACCCAATCGCGGTTCTATGCTTAAGTGTGACATCATCAAATGTATTCAAGGACTAGGATGGAAAGTTTTTACAGAGGTTGTGTCTTTGAAAGTACTCAACTAATCAAGAGTGACAGTGTATTGCCAAATTGCTCCATTCATTGGGCTCTGTGTGACGTCATCAAACGTAGTCAATCGCTATCAAGTGCAGGTGTACCTCCTAGTTGTCTATGACGAGCCAGCGGTGCGTGCTCTGCTCGACTTGCTGTTGTAGTAACGGAGTGCGCACACGCAGCTTGACTTCTATGAGCCTAACCTAACCTATGTATGAGCTTGACTTCTCCTATATATATTAATTCTAGTCAAAAGACTACAATGGAGTGTATTTTTAAGAAGCTGCATCTTGGTATTATTGGTATCAACATCCCAATAGCTTCATTCAGTGGGTTCTGCACTAAGTGTGACGTCATCAAACGTAGTCAAAGGCTAGAATGGAGTGTTTTTCAAGTAGTATCTTGGAAGTATTTGTGCCAACTACCCAATCGCGGTTCTGTGCTTAAGTGTGACATCATCAAAATGAGGACTAGGATGGAAAGTTTTTACAGAGAATGTGTCTTTAAAAGTACTGGGATCAACTACTCAAGAGTGACAGTGTATTGCCAAATTGCTCCATTCATTGGGCTCTGTGTGACGTCATCGAACGTAGTCAATCGCTATCAAGTGCAGGTGTACCTGCCTAGTTGTCTATGACGAGCCAGCGGTGCGTGCTCTGCTCGACTTGCTGTTGTAGTAACGGTGTGCGCACACGCAGCTTGACTTCTATGGAGTCAAAAGGCTAGAATGGAGTGTGTGTTTATGCAGTCGCATCTTGGATTATTGGTATCAACATCCCAATAGCTCCATTCAGTGGGTTCTGCGCTAAGTGTGACGTCATCAAACGTAGTCAAAGGCTAGAATGGAGTGTTTTTTCAAGTAGTATCTTGGAAGTATTTGTGCCAACTACCCAATCGCGGTTCTGTGCTTAAGTGTGACATCATCAAAATGAGGACTAGGATGGAAAGTTTTTACAGAGAATGTGTCTTTAAAAGTACTGGGATCAACTACTCAAGAGTGACAGTGTATTGCCAAATTGCTCCATTCATTGGGCTCTGTGTGACGTCATCGAACGTAGTCAATCGCTATCAAGTGCAGGTGTACCTGCCTAGTTGTCTATGACGAGCCAGCGGTGCGTGCTCTGCTCGACTTGCTGTTGTAGTAACGGTGTGCGCACACGCAGCTTGACTTCTATGGAGCCGCCGGCCGGCCGCCGTCCGTCCATCAGCTGGGAATATAATAAAAATATAAATAAACATCGTTGAACATCACAGGTATACCTGTATCTTTATTATAACACCACTATTTGTAATGTGGCATGCAATAAACAATTAGAATTTGACGTTTTTGTACTGCGTAAGTACCAACTACTAGATAAGTACCAAGAGTGGAACAGAAAAAGTTTAGTATCTGAAAAGATAAAAACTGTAATAAAATTGGACTTGCAACGAAATTAATCGGGAAAGAATAAGAAGCTTCCCAGTCAAGGAAGTCAGAAGTTACGAATATTTTGACGTGTAGCACAACTCAACTCAAGTGTGGTAGTTAAAGGTTAACCTTTGTTTCCTATCTATTTTCAAAGTCAATGGATCAAGGATAAGGTATGATGAAGACTTTAGACTGAGTTTCTTCTACCACTTCTCACTACCAACCGATATGTTGTCACAAAGTGGTGTTAGGGCAAGAAGCTAAATGCCCTAAAAGAGCCTACACACATAATCAATTTAACTCCAACTCACCGGGAAAGCCTCGTGCAGCGTGACCTGAGTCTCCAGCGGTGCCAGCTTCACGGCAGCCGAGCCCAGCAGCGCGTCGCTCCGGAACCAGCCGCTGCAACACCACAGCGCGTCAGCGCACGCCAGCGCGCAGCTAACGTGCGCCGGGACTTACTACTAGGCTACCACGCTACACCACACCACATACCACACAGGGACATAGGAAGCAAGCAATATGGGACTGTGGCTACCACATCTCCCTTTAGTTTCTGTGATCTGTGGTGGCTACCCATTAATATACTGATAAAGACATGGCGTTAGCGTACGCCAATTTTAGGACAATGACACATTTTTCATTGGCCCCGGAGGACACAGTCAGGTTTTAGTAGGTAAGCCTCGCCTTCTGGCGGGGAGAGTCATAGCCCATTGGCCGTCCTCATCGGGCAGTGGGAATGCTCCCGAAAAAAAAAGAATGGAGATGCAAGGAATATAGATCTATGCTGGTAATGTAAGCGTTTACTGCTGCAACACCACAGCGCGTCAGCGCACGCCAGCGCGCAGCTAACGTGCGCCGGGACTTACTACTAGGCTACCACGCTACACCACATACCACACATGGACGTAGGATGAACAAGCAAGCAATATAAGGCTGACGGGGACTTAACTTCCACACTAAAGCCTGGTCCGTGAGCACGTAGAATTTTGTCCAATGACCCCTAGCCACCCATCCTTATCGCTCGCGCGTAATGTTGCTGTCGCGCTCGCACACTCACTGCAAGCGCCCGTCGCACAGTCGCGACAGCAATATAATTACGCGCGAGCGATAAGGATGGGTAGCTTCGGGTCATTGGACAAAATTCTACGTGCTCACAGACCAGACTATAGGCTACCACGCTACACCACATCACATACCACACATGGACATATGATAGAGGTTGAAGATGCAAGCATTAAGGGTAGAGATTGGAAACGTAAGCAGGGTTTATGAAGGTAATGGAAGCGCTACCGCTGCAACACCACAGCTCGTCAGCGCACGCCAGCCCGGAGCTAACGTGCGCAGGGACTAGCTACTAGGCTACCACACTACACCACACATGGACATAGGATGGACATGCAAGCAATGTACAGCAAGAAGCCACGATAGCCGAACGGTGAAGGGGTCGGACTGGGTAACTCGTGATCCGGGGAACGGGTCCGATCCCCACCGCCGCTCGACTATTGTGGTGAGCTTACTCGTCACACAAGTATATTTAGCTTAGTACGAGGAACAACGGGACTATTACCAATATGAGAATGTGGCGGCCTACACTGGTGGTTCATATAAATCGGATTTTATAAAATTTATTATGTATACAAATTAAAAAAATTAAAATGATGATATCAAATTTCTGACTTCACCATACCATTTATATGCCCATGTTAACATGGGCTAGTGTCGGCTCATATACCCATTTACCAAACACCCTGTATAGAAACTCATATAAGTGCGTCCACCTGTCCGCATCTTACGCATCGCACATCCGATACGATGTGTTTAGCACGATGCGTCCGTTGCGTACGATACCGACAAGTGGACGCTTAGCTTTAGAGCGCAGCGCGGCAGCGGCGTTTTTATAATGTAAAGGCATTCATCCGCTGTCAATTTATTTATTTATATTAATTAGTATTACTTATCTTAAACACACTTAGTATTAAATTATCGGCAACGCGTTTGTCGCGCTGCTAAATCGCTTATACATATGTGAAAGCGCTCTTATAATGTAAAGGCATTCATCCGCTGTCACATAGTATGAAATTATCGGCAGCGCGACTGTCGCGCGTTTGTCGCGCAGCTAAATCGCTTATATGTGAAAGCGCTCTTATAATCCGCTGTTACATTGATGCATGTTTTCACCATCAATTCCTAATTTTAAGTGACCCCTATGGTGACACAATACAGGCATTTTGTATTTATTTATTTATTTATACTTCAATGCCAAAAATATTAACATTAGGCGAAGATTGTATTCATACGAGTCATTTAAAAATTAGGGATTGATGGTGAAAACGGGCATAAGTTGCCTAAAAGCGCTATAAAGTGAGGTTTTTGCTCGTAAGGATCTTCTTAAATGATTTTTTGCTTTACCAACGATTTTTAGCGCAACTTACCCTCTCGAGTAGACTTCAAGCTTGATGGCGTGTCGCTTGAACACTCGCAAGCAAGGGCGCGCGCCGCGTTGGATCGCTAGCGAGAAGCGCGCGTTGTATTCCGGACTGTTGGTGTCTTTGACTAGCGCTGTGCGGTCTGATACGGGCGCGTCCTGAAAAATAAATAAAAATAATAATAATATAGCCTGACCAGGAACATAAAAACCCTCGCCATGTTGCGGAAAACTAATGGTACTAATTTCTTTTAATGGCAACAGTAACTGAAAACTTCATTGACATGTCACCTTGCATGTCAGTCTATTGCTGTCAAAGTGTAAACAAACTTTATTTTAAATGTGCGCAATTGATTTTGTGAATTAAAATGCTAAAATCTTTTTATAGTCGTGAAAGAAAAGTGGTTCACAATGTGTTAAAGTATTTGTCGAAGAGAAATACTAAGGGTTCGGACAATATTTTCATTGAATAATGTTTCCGACAAAGGTTGTCAAATTGACTGACATGTTTATCGCATAGTACAGTCCACTATGAAAATTAGCTGTGGTTTGTTTCAACTAACTATTTTAATATTTTTTTTCAATTTCTAAGTGTTGAATTTTATGGAATTGGGAAAGAAGTACCGAGTTTGAAGCGTTCATAAGCAAACATTGCAGTTGAATATTCAAGTTCTGAATTTGATTATTGATGAATAATAAAATAAATCCTACTAGCTCGATTGATGGTTTCATTTAATTTATTTAAACCAGGTTACCTATAATAATATTTTTTCGTTAATTTATCAAAATATCAAATTTAGCCCGTAATCCTGAATTCTGATACATAAAGTTAGCCTATTAATTTAACACAGGTACGACTGTACTCAGTGTTGCACTATCAAATGCAATTGACGCGCCTCTATGCCAGGGTTTTTATGTTCCTGGTCAGGCTATACACTTTATTGTACACCATACATAAAGCCCGGTCTGTGAGCACGTAGAATTTTGTCCAACGACCCCAAGCTACCCATCCTTATCGCTCGCGCGTACTTATGTTGCTGTCGCGCTCGCACACTCGCTGCGGGCGCCCCCGTCGCACATAATAGACAGTTTGACACCATACCCCAATAATTCGAAACCACAACTGTTTTAAAAATACTCTTCATTCTGGACTTAAAAACCTTATTTATTTTAAATTACCTGTAAATTTCGATTTTTGTTCGAATTGTAATTGAAAAAAGTAGTTTAATTGGGTTGACAAAATAGTGACGTCACTTGCTTGTAGTGCCATACATAATCTATGGGAGAGTTTCGTTTTGACAGTTTTAAAAAGTACGTCACTTGACTGTGGTGTCAACATGTCTGTTCTACGTGCTCGCAGACCAGACTACAGTAACAAGAACAAAAAAGAAATACACAGGGACAGTACAATTTAGGCATTCTTATCGCTATAAAGCGATCTCTTCCAGACAACCTATGGAGAGAACAGTTGTATAAAATATGTATGAAGGGGAAGGCGGTAAATATGATGCTCTAAGGCAGTTCTTAACCGGTGGTCCGCGGACCACTGGTGGTCCCTGGAGGCATTCCAAGTGGTCCACGAAGACATCGTAATAAACAAGTGCCGTGACGTGATGAGTCAGTCATGGGCGAGAAATATACCTCCCCTTTCATAGGATTTTAAAAAAAAAGTGGTCCCTGACAAGATAGAAATTTGGTAAAATGGTCCCTCGTGACTTAAAGGTTAAGAACCACTGCTCTAAGGCTTTTACTAAATAAGCTGTAGTTATTGTATTTTTTAAATAGAGCAGAATCGTTTCAACCTAAGGATAAAAGCATCCGCTAAGGATTTTTACCAAGACTTCCTGCGTTGCCCGCATTCAGGTACTTCTCGCGACTATAGCCAGATATTCTGTTCGCGGTTTGAATAAAATATAATGTATTTATATTTATACAGCATCATTACATAAAAGTTTGCCAAAAAGCATTAAAACTTATTTTTACATTACTGATGCTGAACAAAACATGATTTGAAATTTTTTGATATGGGTCTTGAACGACCTTTCAGTTGACAGATGAAACGATTCTGACGGTGAAAAATATGAGGCAATCCTTTAATTAAACTATTTTTTAATAAATTTAGATTTTTTTACATACCTGAGGAAACGGGAACTCAAACTTGACGTACGTGTCAATTTCTTTCGGGTTGGGCACGTTGTAGGCGATGCCGCGGACTATTGTCAACTCTAACTCGTTCTCGTTAATGTCTGTGTTGCATTGCACGATCGAAAACTGCCGCGACTCGTAGTGGAATTTTGGCGGGTTTTGGCCTAGACTGAAAATTATAGAAAAAACAAATCAAGTTTCTCCGTGGTTATCCGTACTTTGTGCAAGTAAAATTGTACTCTATTCCTAATACACACAGCTTTGGCTGTGACGAAATTCCACAAACTAGGTTAAGTAGACTCTAGCACCCATTGAGTTATTTAACGTATAGTCACGAAGGCGAGTGAGCTTTACTTGTGTGTACGTGTACATGCATATAACGATAGTGTAATGTGTATCAAAACTTTTGAAAAACAAACAGTAGTGAGCCACCATACATGTAAAGCTCACTCGCCTTCGTGAATTGCAACAACTATACCAAAGTTTTTTTCTGTATACGTTCTATGTCCTTAACTAAGTGATGTTCATCGTAATAAATGTTTCTTTCTTTCAAAGTCATGCTTCGCAATGGCGAATAATTTTCTTATCTATTGGCATGTCTTATGCGAGCTAACTTTGAGTTTCTCACCATACAACGCAAATTAAATTCTAATCTAATAAGCATAGAGTGGAGGCCGCGTACCGGAAAACGCAGCGTGAGACGTCCACCCACAAGGTAGACCGACGATATCATAAAGGTAGCAGGAAGGCGCTGGACGCAGGCCGCTACTAACCAGGCAACATGGAAAGCATTGGGGGAGGCCTATGTTTAGCTGTGGACGTCCTATGGCTGAAATGCTGATGATAATGAAGCATGGAGTTCAACTCACCTCTTAGCAACAGCCACCACATCCAAATCCTGCTTCACACTAACAGCGATATGCTCGAACCTATTCGCCTCCGCTATGTGTCCCATGGCCTTGTTATGGTCCCTATTGGACAGGCACAGCTTGAGTTGCGCCGTGAGCTGGTTGTGCAGCCTGGAGAGAACATCTTCGTCGTCCATGGTTATGGTGGATGGACCCTCGTCAGAGGGACCGCAGTCTTCAGCCGATACTATGTCGAAGCTGTAACAACAACATTACAGATTGAATTGGGGGTTTAAACCAATTGTAAATTAGCACAAATTCTAAAAAATACACTTCATTCTAGCCCTGAAAACAGGGGTAAGTGCCTGAGGTATGGGAGCGGCACAGGGTGTTTTTGTGACGGCCAAACGTCAGCGAGACTTTACATCTCCATCAAATTTGTATTTTTTGTCACATCATAATACACTCGACATCAAATAAATCGCACCTCCCGCGACAAGCATTTTCAAACGTATGCATCTCCATTTCCCACCAATATTGGCACCATTTAAAAGCCTAGTTCTAACCTTCATTTCATTAAAGGAAAGGTTTTTACCCCAAACCTGTGTCTTTAGAAGGATCCAGAGTCACTTCTTCAAAAAATAGGTAGTTACGCTAGAGCCAACTTTTATGGCTATAAAACTGTTAAGTTGGGATTAATCACTATCCATCTGTTAAAGAGGACACGTGAGATCATTATTTGGTTTTATAACCATAAAAATTGGTCTAATTGATCCCATAGATGGGCCCAAAGTGAGGTATTTTTTTAAGTCACATTTATGGTATATGTTAATCATTTATTAAGAAATTAAATGTGTTTTTCTTTAAGGATATTTATTGGGCTTTTAAATAACATCAATATTGTTGGGGCACCATGATTGTGTCAGAAAGAAATCGTTAAAGTTCGCGTCGCGGAAGGTGCGGTTTATTTGATGTTGAGTATATTATGTCAATGTTACCCATCCCATGCCGCTCCCATACCTCGGGCACTAACTTTCATCAAGTGAATACGCAACCATAAAATGACGTTATAGTCCCCATTGCCGTACAAAATCTATGAGTAAGCCGTATGTATTCCAACAGTTCGTAAAAAGTATGTCATTTGACTAGATCCTATTTCTCAGGTTCTCACAATAAATTAGCCAGATCTGTAATAAGCTTACATTCTACTTATTTCTCATGTAATAAGAACGACTTCAACAGAGCAACTGTTGCTTATAAATATTCCAGTTTTCATTACTCACGTGTTTTCCAGTTGCTTGTGAGCGCGTGGTGGTAAAGGAAGACTCTTCAGGTCGACCACTAAACCTCCCTTGGCTGCTTCTATTACCGAGTCGAAGCCCTTGGCGGCACGCAGGTACTCTTTAGCTTGCTCTATGTCGCCTGTAATATACAAAAATGTATTTAATATTTGTTATTAAACATGGTGCTGAAGAATACAAGACAAAATAAAGCGGTGGTTATTAGTGATGGATAAATTAACTCCCTTTAACTTCAAATTAAGCTAACACGCTTAATTGTGTTTGGACCTTAGGTCTCCCACAATAATCCAGCAGTCGACGGGCATGGAACTAGCGTTTTTGCGAATGCCATTCGTTACCAAACCCATTGGTTTATAAATCACCTTCGCCAACCACACCACTCGCCTGTAACGCCAACTAGTGAGTGCAAATGCGACATTCCTCCTAAGGCTGTAGGCACAAATACGGTAGCCTTATGCTAATTTTCACCATCAATCCCTATTTTTTAAGTTGCCCTATGGTAATACATAACAGCATGGACCTATAAAAAAAGTCGGACGGATTCTCATCAACAAAATACTGTGACATTAGGATACACCAGCTTGCCTGTACGTACAGGCCGGCACGCACACATTCACACCCTGATACACCACTTCGAATGCAAACTTCACACAGTTAACTCATTTAAGCAGCGAAAAAACAACACGAATACGACATGTCTTGTGTGACGAAATTGTGTAAAAACCGTTCTGTTCGAACAAACAAAAATTAAGGAATCACATTTCACAGGCAAAATAATAATCCAATCACTTATTTCCCGACATTAAAATATTGAAATTAATTGAAATCAAACGTCATTCACTCGAAAAAATAATACGTCAAAGACTAGTGTTCTCAGTTATTTACGTGGGAAAATTACCCGAAATATGGGAAATTAATAATAATTTTAGGACTTTTTAGTTATTTATTACGCATACTATGGAAATAAAATAATTTATCATAATAATTGTGTTTTAATGGGATATATTTTCATAGGCAAATTTGATCCTTCCCAAAAATGTGGAACTGCGAAATTCCAATTTTCTTACATTGATTGCAAGTCAGTGTCAGGTTGTATGTTAAAATCTATCAGAGATAATAATAATATATTGATGATGCATAAGCTTATGATTATAATGTACACAAGATTCGTAATTTGTAACTGCGTGAATCATTTTTGATCAAGATTATGTACATACCCTGACACACTGACTTGCAAACAATGTAAGAAAATTTGAACATTGAAAATTTCGCGCCTTGTTGGGTCTAATTCTCGTCACTACACTGCACAACTTAAAATAATTACGTTTTTTGTCGGTAAAAACGTCCTGGTGACGTCACTTAAGCATTTTTCTTATACTGCGTGCGGTCGTTGCGCGTGCGCACAAAGGAATGAGACCGCTCGGACACCGAGCCCACAGCGTGGTAGGGGTGGGGTTGCCCGCTCTTTTGTTTTTTACTACTACTACGCTGAATATTGTGTGCGGATTGGGTTGTCGTACAGGGGTACTACACGGTAAAATAAATCTCGGAGGCGAAAGCAGGATAATTATAACTACGGGGTATAAAATTCTAAAAAAAATAGAGGTGATGCATGCTAATTAACTCTTTCAACGATTTTTGGTTTGATCAAAGTATCTCTTATAGTTTTTGAGATAGGTTGATTAAATTGACATAATAATTTTCTCATAAGGTCATAGCACACTTATCAACTCGGAGACGGATCAACGCCGTATCGCCTTTTGCTGCGAGGCGAGCCGAGGCGTTTATTATGTTAGATATTGTCCAGATGGGAGAATTCGCGAACGCGCGAAGAATCATATCGCGAGATACTAACAGCCAATACATTACGACCACAAGACACGCGCGAGTTGTAAATTCGCGCGTAAATCGCGTCATACATATTATTATGCTCGTGTTCGCGCGAAGACATTCGCGGCGAATTCGCCCTCCTGGACAAGGCCAGAGTTTCATACAAAGAATACTGACTGCCTCGACTTGATTTGACACGATACATGATATGATTTAACATTTGACCTATGACACACATGCATGCCACAAACACACCATGTTTAGCCTAGGCGCAGACTATCTATTTTTCGTCGGCCGATAGTTTAGTCGGGCAGTTGATCAGTATGGGCATGTATAGAAGTGCGCATTACACCGATTTGATTTGGCCGATTCTTTATACAAATTAAAATCGGATCCAACTATCGGCCAACTAAAAATCGGTGGTCTGCGCCTAGTCTTATGCCCGTTTTCACCATCAATCCCTAATTTTTAAGTGTTACCATAGGGGTCATCGATGGTGAAAACAGGCATTAGTCTTTTAATATCTCCGATGTATCAAGAAGTATTATATTGTTCCAGTGCGGACCTCCAGTTTGAAGCAGCTTGGGCCATCACCAATATTGCGTCTGGGACGCACGAACACACATTAGCTGTTATAGATGTGAGTACACTTTGGTATAGCTTAAATTCTCTATTACTTACATTTATTTTATCATTAGGAGATCTTGGAGGTGGCCTTTGTCCAGCAGTGGACGTCATTTGGCTGACACGAACGATTTTATCATATTTTTTTTGTTTTAATATTTTGTAAAGGATCTTACGGAAAGTAGTGCAGATGATAGTCTCCATAAACTTTACGACTAGATATTTTATCTTAGTGCGTTTCACAGTTCATGCCTTTAATAAATGCAAATGTAGGCGACAATAATCCTACGGGGAAGGTGTCCAAGATTCTCGGAACCCGGGTTCGAAGCCTGCTCTGCTGGACTATTGTGGTTAACTCACTCGCAACACAAGCATTTAGCTTACAAGAGAGGTTAACGGGACTATTGTACAGGCGACAGCATGTCAAGTTATTCACTGCGACATTTTATTTAAAGTACGGCCAACTTGCAGCGATACAAAAGGTCGATTCGACTGTCGAACTGACAATCTATTCTGTCTCTTCCCATCTTGTGTATTTGTCGTAATGTCTCGTTCTCCCGCCAAAATATGTCAAAGTCAAACCCATGCTGTTCCAAATGACCATGACATTGGGTTTGTTTACATTTGGTATCGCTTCTCGTTGGCCGTACTTTAGTTGTTAATAGGTGGTATTTTCCAACGAAAATGTGCTCTTATGTTTATTGTTTTAAAATAATTGTACACAGGCCGGCGCGATCCCCAAACTGGTAAACTTACTATCCCTCGGCGGCGTCGTCGGCGAACAAAGCGCGTGGGCGCTCGGCAACATTGCAGGTAGGTGGTGTTGAAAAATACTAAATAAAACATTCCTTCATCATTCAATTTTAACGCCAGTACTCACAAACATTACTGTGAAGTCTCACAGTGAGCGTGGACGCAAGAATGACACACGAACCAATCACAGAGCTCTATTCAACGCTGTGCGATCGATTTGCTGCTCACTACGGAGCGCGTTTAAAAAATATATGAATTTTTTTATTCTTAAACGTTTACGCTTTTTTTGGCGCGTTCACTAATGAGCGCGTTTGATGCAAACTCACACTAGGCCCTCTTGAGGTGGAATAGGCTAGTTGCCTAAAAAAATTTTTTTAGTCCGTAATGTTTAATATCAAAAAATATTGGACACATACATTTTTATTTGTCAATCTAACAAATAATTACATAGTTATGGTGCGTTGAAGTTGCGCACGACGTCACAACGTGCGGCATTTTTAAGCAAGCGTTGACGTCACGGGCCTCTTCTTATGAACTTTGGGGCGCTTTATCTCTTTAAATTTTTATTAGTTTGAAAAAGTGAAAAATACGTGTAGAGTATTTTTTGATAAGTTAACTGACGGACTAATTAAAACTCTTGCTTTTTGACCCAGGCAACATCCCCATTGTNTGGCATCCCTAAATTCACTCACACAATAGACAAACGCCAAAATTTTGCGTCACAGTTTTGTTGCAGCGCGAGTTCCGTCCGCCTTTTTTTATAGGTCCATGCATAACAGGAATTTTGTTTTCATAGGGGTCACTTCAAAATTAGGGATTGATGGTGAAAACGGGCATAAACAACCCAAGCCTTCTTCACCACAATAAAGGCAAAATGTCTTTTAGGAGGACTAAAATAAGACGCAAGACGCAAATATGGTAGTCCGCACAACTCACCAGCCTTCTTCGCCTTGATAGCAGCTTCCCTGAACTGCTTCTGCCTGTGCATTAAGAGCGCTAGTTGCTTGTCGTGGCGCGAAGGGGGCGTGGCCTGCGAGCCTTATTGTCCCTAAACATGAAGCCTCATGACTCACCAGCCTTCTTCGCCTTGATAGCGGCTTCCCTGAACTGCTTCTGCCTGTGCAATAAGAGCGCTAGTTGCTTGTCGTGGCGCGAAGGGGGCGTGGCCTGGGAACCACGTGACGGCGCGGGCGACGGCGGGGTAGGGGCGGGGGCGCGCGGCGCGGGAGCGGGAGCGGCCGCGGGACTCTGGAATAAGTTAATATTGTGGTGGACAACTAAGGCCGTTTGTAGACATCCGTTTTTTCACCGGACGACGGACCGTCAAAAAACGGATATCCTTTGTTTGCTGTCAATTTTTTCGCCGGACCCATGTCCGATGCATGTGCACATGTTCATTATAAATCATACGCCACTGCTAAATCCGGTGAAAAAATCGGGCCGTTGTCCGGTCAAAAAAACGGATGTTTACAAGCGGCCTAAAGGCGCGCGCGCACGGGCGCCTTTTGTCACCGTGACTGTGTGGCTAAGAACTCACAAGTCACTGGTACATAATGGTCGCCCAATCGGGACCCGATTACAACCGCGCCCGCTGCGGGCGAAAACAGCGTCGTAAGTTGTGCATTAGTTCTAGTATCTGCATTCTACAGAAGCTGCGGGCCCGCAACCGCCACGGGCGCGGGTGAAAATCGCGCCATTAGTTCTTAGCCTTAGCAGGCCTGTTCATCTCCGCGAGTTTACATCGAAAACAAAACACGCACGATGGCCCACCTACAGGATACTATTCGACAAGGCCTCACATACGAGCGAACATTGACTCACGCACGCGTATTCTTGTGTATGATGGAAGAAAATAAAGAAAATGGTGTACTAAATACTGTGCAGTATTTAACTGCCTAAATAATAATAAAAACACAGAATGTACTTTTTTAAGTTGCCTCAAGACACTGAGAGGTAAATAAGTAGTTAATATTATTCATGATAATTCATGCTAAATCATGTATTTCCTCCGCCATTTTCCGCAGTTTGGCACCTCACGTCACATCATTTTACCGAAGTCAGCCCTATAGCTTCGGCGCAGTGCCGATCACTGACGTTTGTCAACAAAATGGTGCTTGACTCTTGAGACAGGCTAAATTACACCATATTACTTTGTAAGTATTGAATTTTATGGAATTGGGAAAGAAGTACCGAGTTTGAAGCGTTCATGAGCAGACATTGTAGTTGAATATTCAAGTTCAGAATTTGATTATTGATGAATAATAATAAAATCCTACTTGCTCGATTGATGGTTTCATTTAATTTATTTAAACCATTTTACCTATAATATAATATTTTTTTGTTAATTTATGAAAATATTAAATTAGCCTATAATCCTGAATCCTGATACATAAAGTTAGCCTATTAATTTAATACAGGTACGACTGTACCCAGTGTTGCACTATCAAATGCAATTGACGCGCCTCTATGCCAGGGTTTTTATGTTCCTGGTCAGGCTATACTTATTATTATTCTGTGGCCTTAGTCTCTCCATAGACAAGAATAAGTACTCCGTTTTCTCAGTTTTTAAAAGATTATTAGTATTTTGTTATTACACAAATTACTAAATAGTCCCGTTAGCTCCTTGTACTAAGCTAAATATGCTTGTATCACGAGTGAGCTCACCACAATAGTCGAGCGGCGGCGGGACCGAACTCGCGGTCCCCGGATCATGAGTCGGCCAGTCCGACCCCTTCACCGTTCGGCTATCGATATTTTATAAAAGTGTAGAATTAAAAGATATACTGTCACGTTAACAAAGTCACCCGTACGCGTACTGTAGGTAGTCATGACTATCCACCATACGGCGCCGGCTTATCGTCGAATTTTGGGCCACGTTGTATAACTGAACTCACTACATTTAGGCCACTGACCTCTATACACTGGACAGGCTGTCTCATAAAAATGACAGCAAATTTTATATGCCAACTAGCTTTCCGCCCGCGGCTTCGCCCGCGTGGAATTTTGTCTGTCACAGAAAAACTTTATCGCGCGCGTCCCTGTTTCAAAAACCGGGATAAAAACTATCCTATGTTCTTTCCCGGGACTCAAACTATCTCTATGCCAAATTTCATCAAAATCGGTTGCGAGGTTTAAGCGGGAAAGCGTAACAGACAGACAGACAGACAGAGTTACTTTCGCATTTATAATATTAGTTGGGATTTGAACGACTAATTTCGACGTACATTGTATGGAGTAACCATAGGAGTAAGCGAGAAAGAAAATCACTGATTTTAGTTCCATGGGCAATCGTATCTGCCTGCAGCGCCAAAATGGCGAAACTCAAATAATAGGCACAAAAATATTATGACAGCAGCCAGTCCAGACAGGTCAGTGATTTGGGCCCATGAATGCCCATATTTGACAGTATACAGACAGTTATAGATAGAGTGACCCATTCTATCTGTATTACTACTTTGTAAACTTATGTAACTAAAGTGCATTTTTCTGGAAATAAATTTATTCTATTCTATTCTATTCGTGGGTGATTGTTGGTTATAGAATCATACTCACGCCGCCAGTGGGCAAAGGCGCGTACCCAGCCGGCGTGGGCAGCTCGTCCCCAGCGATGGGCTTCCCGGCGGCGTTGAGGCGGATCGCGTCTTGGTACTGCTTGATCACGCGGCCCAGGCGGCGAGCCTTGGATGAGTTGCCGTCTTCTTTCGCTTTTGCTTCTTGTTTGACGCGCATAGGGGTGTCTTGTGTGTCTTGTCACCGTGACAGTGTGTCTCTCCATAGACAAGAATAAGTACTCTGTTGTCTCTTTTTTTTTCTTTGTAAGTATAGAAGATAAAAACATACTGTCACGTTAACATAAAGTCACCCGTACGCGTACCGTAAGTAGTCATAACATGTCCACCCTACGGATCCAGCTTATCGTCGAATTTTGGGCCGCGTTGTATAACTTAAGTCACTACATTTAGGCCACTAACCTCTTCACACACTGGACTGTCTTATACAAATAACAGCTTGTGTACCAATTTGAAGCGCCACTACAATTGTCCCGAGTACTAATTTCGACGTACATTGTATGGAGTAACCATAGGAGTAAGCGGGAAAGAAAATCACTAATTTTAGTTCCATGGACAATCGTATCTGCCTGCAGCGCACAAATGACGAAACTCAAATAATGGGCACAAAAATATTATGACAGAAGCCAGTCCAGACGTCAGTGATTTGGGCCCATGAATTGAAAAAGAGAAAACCTTTGAAAAAGAGGCTGACAATAGTGTCTGAGTTTCTTGCGCTGCTACTTCTCAGCACTGCCCCTTTTATTGTCCTGAAGCAGTGGTAGGGTTAATACTGGGACATGTAAAAGTGCTTTTTTAAAGCCTACTTACAGAAATAAAGAAAAAAAATTCCCATATCTGACAGTATACAGACTGTTTTATAGAGTGACCCATGATTGATTGTTGGTTGTAGAATCATACTCACACCACCAGTGGGCAAAGGCGCGTATCCAGCCGGCGTGGGCAGCTCGTCCCCAGCGATGGGCTTCCCGGCGGCGTTGAGGCGGATCGCGTCTTGGTACTGCTTGATCACGCGGCCCAGGCGGCGAGCCTTGGATGAGTTGCCGTCTTCTTTCGCTTTTGCTTCTTGTTGCTGCAACAAATAACCAATAATAATTAAGCTTTTAAACTTGATTGGATTTTATTTGTAGATAGCGTTCGATCTTTGTCAACGTAATGAATACGGTGTCAGCATGGTGAAACAATAACGCTCTTCGGCAATCTTAGGCCCGGTTTTTTGATTCGTAGTTAAAATAACCAATGGTCAAATTTGACAGATGTCAAATGACAAGTGGTTAAATATCAGAAAAAAATGTTTTTCGAACAATGGTTAGCTTGACTTTTAGTACATTTTTTAACTATTAGTTAACATTTTGTTAATATTTAACCATTAGTAGCAAAATTTAACAATTTGTTATTTTAACTATGAATCAAAAAACTGGGCCTTAGAGAGGCTCACGTCTAGCAGTAGACTGCATTTTTTTTTTATTATTAGCAATTTGTGCCTATTGCACAAATTACTAATAGTCCTGTTAGTCCCTAGTGATAAGCTAAATAAGCTTGTGTTACGAGTGGGCTCACCACAATAGTCGAGCGGCGGTGGGATTCGAACCCGCGTTCCTCGGATCCGAGTCGGCCAGTCCAACCCATTCACCGATCGGCTATCGTGGCTATGTCAAATTGGATTGATATTTTTTTTAAATATTCAAGTTATCAGGTATAAAATCTGGGGTTAACGTCAAACTGTAAGTACTCATGAACTAAAAGGTAAATTTCGCATTTGAGACCGGTTATCCTCAGTTTTAAATGTAATGGCACGTGAAAGTTTCAAATCTTATATCCCACGGGATGTTTTGGTCGAGGTCAATATAGCGTCGTTAACACTAAAGAAGAAATTAAATAGCTTAAAACAATCTTGTTGTTTACCTGGAAAGCAGCCAATCTCTGCCTCAACGCTTCATCGACTGTGGACGCAGTAATGAGACCCTCGCTATCGGTGGTTGGCGGCGCGGGCGCTGGTTCTGGAAATTATTTAATTATTATATTATTGTTCTTGTTGGCTGTTTGATTTAACTTTCGAGTCAAACTTTATATGGTCATCTAAGGTCAGAAACGTGATTAGTAGATTGTCAGTCAATCAGGGTGACAAAATTCCAGTGAACCAAACTGCAATAACATTGATACCTGAACATAGGCCTCCCCAAATCATTTTCATATTGTCCAGTTGATAGCAGTGGCGGCGTAGCATGGGTTGGCACCCGGGGCGATCACCCCCCTCCCCCCCGTCATAAGTCCTAAGGCACCCCCTGGTACCCCCCAGGATTTTGGTGTTACCTACGGATTCGAAGATTGAAAGACAATCGCAACCCAAACGCGTCCACTATGACGTCATAACTGCTTGACTACCCTCAGGAACTCTTACCTTCAGAAGTCTGGACCTGGCTTTCCTCCTTCTGGCCCTTGACAGCTGCCTCTATCATTTGCGGCGTAGGCAGTTCGTTGAGGTCCATCTCTTGGCCTGCTTTGTACGCGTCCACTACGAGGTCAAACTGTTTGACCACTTTGAGGAATTCCAACGCGAGGGTCTTGTCACCAGCTCGCTTGGCGGAGAGCGCTGCGAGTTTGAACTCTTCTTTGCGTTCTGGAAGTAACGAAATTATATTAGAATCTAGCAATTTTTACGGCAGTTTAGTTGCATCAAAATAGGAGGCTTTTGTAAAAGACCTCTAGGAACGAATAACGTCAACGTAAGCAAAGTTTATGCGAAAATGTTATGGCAATAATATTGCCTAATCGTATTGCAGAAAACACTTTTCTTTTTCCAATAATATGACAACAACTACAAACATGACAGCTTATTCATAAGATGTCAATCAAAGAGCGACAAATTGTTTTGCTGTAATGTTTATACAACAATGCGGAATATAGTAAAATAATTACGTCCTTTCGCTAACGATATCAGCGTAGACAAGTCAAACAACTCAGAGATGTACATTTTTATGATGGGATTGTTTAAGTCTTATCTTGGGATAAGATTCATAATTTTAACAGCTATCTCAACTTCTCAAGTTCTTTAAAAGCTCATAAACCACTTACTCAAAATAACATTCAATCCTTCCTGCTTCTCAGGGTCCACCTCCTCAACATTTGGCGGCGGCGGCGGCGGATGAGACGGCTCCGGCAAACTTAGGGGTTCCTCGGGCTCCGGCGCAGACGGCTCCGGGTCCATAGACACCGGCTCCGGTTCCATAGCCACTGGTTCCGGGTCTATAGGGGCTTCTGGTGGAGGGGCCGGTTTTCCGATACTGGCTGGCGGGGGAATATCCTCATCCTTTACAGGGCGACCAGCTTTGGCTTGTTTTAGTAAGTCGTTCAGCGTTTTTAGACCACGGCCGAATCTGGAAATAAATAAAAATATATTGTATTTTTTTATGCAGGACAAGGCAGGTATTTGACCGCAATCGTACCTGGTGTTAAGTAAGATGCAGTCTAGGATGGTACATATCTACCCTGTAAGTGCCTATTCACTCTCGCCTTGAAATATGAAAATATCATTGGTGAAAATATTTGGGAATTACTAGGGGGCCAATTTTCCATTTGGCGAAACTTAGTTGAATACAAAAATATTTATTCTAAGAATAGGGTGATCTTTAACAGGCAACCTAACATATCAGTAGCTTGAAGCCAACCAACATCAAAAGAAAGACAACATTATCTCTTAAAACAAACCTCCTAGCCTTACTGCTCTCTCCACTCTCCTTAGCAGCTTTCTCAGCCATAGCATAGTTTGAGATCCTGTCTTGCAGCAGGCTTATGGTGCTGATCTGTCCACTAGCTGGGGCCCCAGGTGAAGGGAAACAGATGACTATTAAAATACAAAATTATCTCCCAAAACAAACCTCCTAGCCTTACTGCTCTCTCAACTCTCTTTAGCAGCTTTCTCAGCCATAGCATAGTTTGAGATCCTGTCTTGCAGCAGGCTTATGGTACTGCTCTGTCCACTGGCTAGAGGCCCCAGGTGAAGGGAAACAGATGACTATTAAAATACAAAATTATCTCCCAAAACAAACCTCCTAGCCTTACTGCTCTCTCAACTCTCTTTAGCAGCTTTCTCAGCCATAGCATAGTTTGAGATCCTGTCTTGCAGCAGGCTTATACTGATGCTCTGTCCAATTGGGGCCCTGGGCGGAGTGGGACAAGTGAATAGTAAAAGAAAAGACAACATTATTTCCTAAAACAAACCTCCTAGCCTTACTGCTCTCTCCGCACTCCTTAGCAGCTTTTTCAGCCATAGCATAGTTTGAGATCCTGTCTTGTAGCAGGCTTATGGTCCTGCTCTGTCCACTTGGGGCCCCAGGCGGAAGGAGGCAGGTAAATATCACAATAAAGGACAACATTGTCTCCTAAAACAAACCTCCTAGCCTTACTGCTCTCTCCGCACTCCTTAGCAGCTTTCTCAGCCATAGCATAGTTTGAGATCCTGTCTTGCAGCAGGCTTATGGTGCTACTCTGTCCACTTGTAGGGGCCCCGGGCGGAGGGGGGGCGGGGCGCGCCGCCCGCGGGGGGGGCGGGGGCGCCTCGTCGTCGTCTATGGCCAGTTCTTTAAGTTCACTGAGGAGGTCTGGGTCATCTTCATCACCTATTGAGGAAGGAGTTGTGTTGTTAATAAAGCTAGTAACATGCAGGGCCTGACACTTACTGGGGCCCTTGACTTTAACTAGGATTACTGGGGCCCTTTTTCCCAAAAATCATAGAACTTTTATGGACAATTTAGTACCTATCCTATTCACAGGTTACTCTTTAAAAAAATTTCAGGTAAATTCATGAATCTGGAGGACAAAGAGGATGTTTTGAGAATATCATGTTGTCATTATTTTGTTACATAATTTAATATTATGTTACAGGAAAACCACTATAGGAAAATGTTAATTTGACTGCTATCAGCATGAAAGTAAATTAACCCATTATAGACTGAGTTTTCTTAAAGTGTCAGATTTTTGTTTTTTTGAAATGTATTCATAATTATGGTCTACATAATGCTATACAAGCATTAAAAAAATGATCCGACCTGTAATCTAGAAAAAAAATGCTGGTACCATATGGTACCGCTAGCCTCTTACCGTGTCAGTAGGTTAAAACATAACTTTATCATGGACTTTATAAAAATGGGGTAAATTATATATTTTATTATTATTATTATATGTATTAATATACAAGCAAATAACAGAAGTGATATTAAATGTGAAAAACTGTATATTGGGTAAGGAATATTCATTTTTATCTTTGAATATTCAAAAATTTGGAATGGAGCTTGGCATTGCACGCTGCACTTAGCCCCACGCAATATTTCCTATACTCTAATATTGTTCGAGAGTTGCAATTATCTCGAATTCGTTCTNCTTATGCGTGTTGTCCATTCCACCTCTGGTCAGAATTGTATACTCCGACGGTTAGTTAATAATTTATTGTTTTGCATTCTGTCACTTTGGCAACGTTATTGTTATCCAACATTCTGTGCATGTCGTGGCAACCTTTAATTAAGGCAACACCTTAGCTTAATTTATTTATAAGGATACTGTGAATGTATGGTGTATGTTTTGTTGGTTGTCCTTAAATAAATAAATAAATCTCTATTTTATTTATTTATTTTTATTTTTCTTTATTCAGAAAACCACAGCTCTTTATAATAATAATACAAAATATACTTTATAATAAAAACTCTAATCGCAGGCGACGGCGCCGGGCCGCGCGATCGCGTGCTCGAATGCGGAGCCCTAGCGAGCCTGCTGCCGCTGCTCTCGCCGAGTGCCGCGCCCGCCCAGATACGGACCGCCGTGTGGACCTTTAGCAACCTCTGCAGGTGAGACAAGAGACACTATAGGCGAGGCACTATAGGGGAGTCACTACAGGCAAGACACTAGCTTGTGGCGTCACCAGCAACGTATGCGCTCGGCAACATCACAGATACGGACCGCTGTGTGGACCTTTAGCAACCTCTGCAGGTGAGAGACGGGTCACTAGGAGGCGAGGAGAGTCACTAACGGGGTGAGGAGAGTCACTACGAGGCGAGGCATTATAGGGGAGTCACTATAGGCGAGACATTATAGGGGAGTCACTACAGGCGAGCCTGCTGCGCCGCGCCTGCCCAGATACGGACCGCTGTGTGGACCTTTTAGTAGGGAATTTAGTGCAATGATTTGTATGGAGACCCCTCCACTTTGGTATAGAAGGCTCATTTTTGCAACAGTGGTTCTTTGGGTGCTCCTCAGTGGATTTCCGTCGGTAGACATCGGGAGCTCCCCCTGTGGTAGCAGGGGGAGGGGGGGCAAGTTTCCTTCCGCCGCGCTTCACTTTAAGGCCCATATCTTCAAAACTATGGGTATTAGGGCAAGTGTGGTATCATTTTCGGATAATTAAAGGATGGCGAATTCATTTCTAGAACAAACTTTTTGCCTTTTCATACAAAAAAATTGAAATGTTGAGTAAAATTCACAAAAACCAAAAGGTATTTTTTTAAATAAACGTCGTTTACTTTTAAACCACTGGAGATAATCTAATAAAAAAAATATGACCATTTTTATAATCCTGATAAATGTAGCTTTCAGGTCATATTTTTTTTATTAGATTATCTCCAGTGGTTTAAAAGTAAACGACGTTTATTTAAAAAAATACATTTTGGTTTTTGTGAATTTTACTCAATATTTCTATTTTTTTGTATGAAAAGACAAAAAGTTTGTTCTATAAATGAATTCGCCATCCTTTAATTATCCGAAAATGATACCACACTTGCCCTAATACCCATAGTTTTGAAGATATGGGCCTTAAAGTGAAGCGCGGCGGAAGGAAACTTGCCCCCCCTCCCCCTGCTACCACAGGGGGGGCTCCCGATGTCTACGGACGGAAATCCACTCAGGAGCACCCAAAAAACCGCTGTTGCAAAAATGAGCCTTCTATACCAAAGTGGAGGGGTTCTTGCACTAAATTCCCTACTATTTAGCAAGCAACCTCTGCAGGTGAGAGACGGGTCACTAGGAGGCGAGGCGGGCCACTACGAGGCGAGACGGGGTCACTAAGAGGCAAGGCACTATAGGGGAGTCACTACAGGCGAGGCACTATAGGGGAGTCACTACAGGCGAGACACTATAGGGGAGTCACTGCAAGCTCGTCACTAGCTCGTGGCGTCACCAGCAGCGTATTCGCCCAGATTCGGACCGCTGTGTGGACCTTTAGCAACCTCTGCAGGTGAGAGAGGTCTCTAGGAGGTGAGGCGGGTCGCTAGGAGGCGAGGCGAGTCACTAACGGGGTGAGTCATGTCACTGGGGTTCGAGGCAAGTCACTAGCGGGGCTAATCAAGTCACTAGGGGGTGAGGCTAGTCACTAGGAGGCGAAGTGAGTCACTAGCGGGGCGAGTCAAGTCACTGGGAGGCGAAGTGAGTCACTAGCGGGGCTAATCAAGTCACTAGGGGGTGAGGCAAGTCACTAGGAGGCGAGGCGAGTCACTAAAGGGGTGAGTCATGTCACTGGGAGGCGAAGTGAGTCACAATCGAGGCCAGTCGAAGTCGCTGGGCGCCGTGGCGAGTGAAGTCACTGGGCCCGTGGCGAGTCAAGTCACTGGGCCCGTGGCGAGTCCAGTCACTGGACCCGTGGCGAGTCAAGTCACTGGGCCCGTGGCGAGTCAAGTCACTGGGCCCGTGGCAAGTTAAGTCACTGGGCCCGTGGCGAGTCAAGTCATTGGGCTACGTAGCGAGTCAAGTCACTACGTACCATGGCTAGTCAAGTCACTACGTACCCTGGCGAGTCAAGTTTTAGTAGTCAATTAGCTTAAAATTAAATTATACAGGGTGTTACTTTGCATCCTTGCCATATTCACAGAAATAAAAGTAGGGAACAATACTTATTATTTTAGATAAACAAAAGACTCTCGTAAAGAAATCACACTATGCTGTTTTAAGTTTAAGGTTTTTAAGTTTTATTGGCCTTTATAGTTTGAGTTTGAGAGATAACTTTCATGAACTGATTCAAAAGTAAACATTTTGTTGCAGAAACAAAAACCCAATGGTGAAGTTCGATTTGGTGGCGCCGGCACTGCCGTATATTTCTGAGTTATTGGAGATTTCCGATCAGGACGTGTTGGGTGAGATAATTTTCTTTATTTCTATTGATTCCATTGTGTATAAGAAAAGGGAGAAAAGTACTTGAATGGGCTGGAAGACGTAGTGTGGGCAGGCCTCCTACTAGGTGGACTGACGACTGGTGAACGTCGCGGGAAGTAGGTACCTGGATGCGGGTAGCGCACGATCGGTCGTTGTGGAAATACTTTGGGGGAGGCCTTTGTTTAGCAGTGGACGTCATTTGATTTCCACTGTGTGAACAATGCACGCATTGTCACTCAAGCAAAATTTATGTAACACACAGGCCCTGTTCTGCCGGCCGTGCTCATTTTCTATTTCAGTAGTAATCTACTATAGAATTATAACTTAAAAAAAAAAACCGACTTCAAATGCGTGAACACAAATAATAACCTATTCAACAAAAAAATAATCGTTCAAATTGGTTTATAATCGGCGGAGATATTGCGTATAAAAAAGTTCATCCCCAATTTTCCACCCTTGGGGGTGAAATATTTTCTTCAAATTCGCATGAAACCACCCTTTTGATAATACCTATTCAACAAAAAAATAATCGTTCAAATCGGTTTATAATCGGCGGAGATATTGCGTATAAAAAAGTTCATCCCCAATTTTCCACCCTTGGGGGTTGTTTTTTTTTATTATTAAATTTAAATGGGACCACCCTTGAGGTATTACCTATACGCCGAAAAAAGATTTGTTCAAATCGGTTCATAATTGGCGGAGTTATCGCGTAACAAACATAGAAAAAAAAAACATACGGGTCGAATTGAGAACCTCCTCCTTTTTTTGAAGTCGGTTGAAAATAAGTCGGGTTTTCCTTCCTGACGCTATAACTCCAGAACGCACGAACCGATTTCCACGGTTTTGCATTCGTTGGAAAGGCCGAGACTCCGTGAGGTTTATAGCAAAGAAAATTCAGGAAAATTTAAAAAACGAAATTCCACGCCGGCGATGCCGCGGGCGGAAAGCTAGTTTAATATGAAAGTCTATACTTGAACGACTTGACGTTCATACTTTTTTTTTCTTTTTTTTTTTTCGTCAGGAAATGCATGAAATTGCATACCCACTGGCCCGGGGGAACCAGTGGGCTATGTAAGGCTCTCCCTGCCAGATAGGCAGGGCCTACTCACTAAAACCTGACGGTGTCCTCCCGAGGTCTTTGGGTCCCGACTCTTTCCTGTCCGTAACAAAACTTCAACGACAACAAAACACTGAGTTGCGATCCTATCGAGTAATCGTTCTATTGAAAATGACCCTTATGAAAACGGATTTCAACTGTTTTTCAATAGGACGAATTCTGAACGTCATCGATCTTGACTGTCAAAATACGTGAATTAGGCCATTTATTTTGTAATTTTTGATATTGATTGTCTACAACGAGAACTGTAAAGTATTTTTGTAATCAACCAATCATGTTTCGTCACAGCGGACGCTTGCTGGGCGCTCTCCTACCTAACCGACGGTCCCAACGAGCGCATAGAAGCAGTGCAAGCCACACCTTCGCTTCTACACCGCCTGATCTCATTGCTACAACACGCGAGTCCGGCCGTCAGGACACCGGCCCTCAGAGCCGCGGGGAATATGCTCACTGGCTCCGACCGACAGGTGAATGTAACAGTATCATAGTCCTTGCGGGGCGAGTGTACAATGTCAAGTAGTCTCTGGGGGAAGTCGCTAGCGGAGCGAGGCGCTAACGGAGCGAGGCACTAGCGAGACGAGTCACTGGGGCGAGTCACTAACGGGGCGAGGCGAGTCACTAACGGGGCGAGTCAAGTCACTAGGAGGCGAGTCACCAGCCGGGCGAGTCTAAGTCACTGGGCGCCGTGGCGAGTCAAGTCATTGAGCAGTGCAAGCCACACCTTCGCTTCTACAGCACGCCAGCCCGGCCGTCCGGACGCCGGCCCTTAGAGCCGCGGGGAACATGCTCACAGGCTCCGACCGACAGGTGAATATATTTTTTATTTTATTTATTTATTTAGAGACTGATTCGATCACGCAGGGAAACTCCGAGCATGGCCCGCTCCTTTGCAGCGCAGGACCGTGCATTGTGGAAAACCTTGGAGGAGGCCTTTGTCCGATTTAGAGACACTATAGGGGAGTCACTATAGGCGAGACACTAGAGGCAAGACACTATAGGGGAGTCACTAGCGGAGCGGCCGTCAGGACACCGGCCCTCAGAGCCGCGGGGAACATGCTCACTGGCTCCGACCGACAGGTGAATTTATTTTATTTATTTATTTAGAGACACTATAGGGGAGTCACTACAGGCGAGACACTATAGGGGAGTCACTACAGGCGAGACACTATAGGGGAGACACTACAGGCGAGACACTATAGGGGAGTCACTACAGGCGAGACACTATATGGGAGTCACTACAGGCGAGACACTATAGGGGAGTCACTATAGGGGAGACACTACAGGCGAGACACTATAGGGGAGTCACTAGCAGAGCGGCCGTCAGGACACCGGCCCTCAGAGCCGCGGGGAACATGCTCACTGGCTCCGACCGACAGGTGAATGGAACAGTATTATAAGGATTACTAATGTTTGGCCAAAAATCGTTTCCCAAATTATCACATCGCAAACAACGTTTGAATGTAACAGTATTATAGTCCTAGCTAGTAGAGTCACTAAGACTACTAGGAGGCGGGGCGAGTCAAGTCACTGGGAGGCGAGTCACTAACGGGGTGAGTCAAGTCACTGGGAGGCGAGGCGAGTCACTATCGGGGCGAGTCAAGTCACTGGGAATAAGAATAAGAATAAGAAATTTATTCATAATGTTCATTACATGTCAAATTTTCAATATATTTTCTTACTAGCTTTCCGCCCGCGGCTTCGCCCGCGTCGAATTTTGTCTGTCACAGAAAAACTTTATCGCGCGCGTCCCTGTTTCAAAAACCGGGATAAAAACTATCCTATGTTCTTTCCCGGGACTCAAACTATCTCTATGCCAAATTTCATCAAAATCGGTTGCGAGGTTTAAGTGGGAAAGCGTAACAGACAGACAGACAGACAGAGTTACTTTCGCATTTATAATATTAGTTGGGAAGTTGGGATTAATAATAAACAATTGCAGTATTAATAAGAAAGAAATACACATCATGTCCAAATAAATTAATAATACAAATAGAATTAATGTCAATTAAATGTCAAAATAAAAAATAGTGGGTAACAGTGTCAATAATAATTAAATTCCAAACAGTTCGTCAATTTTATAGAACGCCTGCTCGATCAACCACTTTTTTAATTGAAATTTGAAAGAATCAAGAAGGGAGGAGGAGGAAGGAGGGAGGCGAAGCAAGTCAAGTCACTAGGAGACGAGGCGAGTCACTAACGGGGCGAGTCAAGTCACTAGGCGGCGAGTCACCAAGCGGGGCGAGTCAAATCACTAGGTGGCGGGGCGAGTCACTGAGGTCACTGGCGGGGCGAATCACTGCGGTCATAAGCGGGCCGAGTCACTGGGGTCACTAGTGGGGTGAATCACTGATATCACTAGCGGGGCGAATGACTGCTCGCTAGCGATTGAAAAATCAGTCCTAACTGAACCAAACTTTGTCTATTCCACCAGACGGACCGCTGCCTAGACGCGGGCTGTTTGGACCACATCCTGACTCTACTCCGCTGCGGGAAACCCTCGCTCATGAAGGAGGCAGCCTGGGCCGCTTCCAACATCCTGGCTGGTGAGATACACTGATATATTACATGTCGTGTCATCCTGTAGACGCGCCCCACCACTTTTTGGTCTCGGTCGCGCGGGGTGCGGGGATTTTGATCCGAGCAATCCGAGCGGCATTATTGTAGTGTGCGTGTGCACTCATGGATCATTTAGCGTGTACCGATAACATTCAAACATTGGATGAATGGTGGGGCGCATCTTCGTGGATGAAACGATCTATAAAACACTAGCGGCCGCCCGCGACTTCGTACGCGTGGGTCCTGTTTTACCCCCTTTTCCCGAATTTTCTTTGCTATAAACCTCACGGAGCCCGAGACCTTTCCAACTAATGCAAAACCGTGGAAATGGGTTCGTGCGTTCTGGAGTTATAGCGTCAGGGAGGAAAATCCGACTTATTTTTATATAGTAGATTTTATAGGTCGCTCAACGAGAGTTGAGGCCATCAATACAAAGAAAGATTTGTATCTGTACACATTGTCTGCGCTGACGTTTTGCGTAATCAAACTGACAAGTGCATTCTTAGCTTTGTGTAAGGATAGTGTAGTCGATATTTGAACTTGAATGTGTTTTGTATTTTGTATTCAAATATAACATCACTGCGACTCAACTTTCGTTGAGTGACCTATAATAAGTTTTTACTTAACTTGCGTTACAAGCAGTTCGTGGCATAACAAAATTTTACACACTTTAATTTTGTTGATTGTTTAGGCCAAATTTAATTTTGAACCAGTTTTCCATAATGTTGAGTTTTGGCCATGTTTCTGAATATTTAGCTTGAGCCTCGAACTCTTTTCTACACAAGTATGAATTTAATATGAAAAGTTCGTACTTGATTGGGCCCGGGTCTCTCCGAACAAGTACGAACATGGTAATTAAATAATTAACTTTAAAAAAAAATAAAACCGACTTCAAATGCGTGAACACAAAAAAAAACTAAAAATTAAAAATATTGCGTATAAAAAAGTTCATCCCCAATTTTCCACCCTTGGGGGTGAAATATTTTCTTCAAATTCGCATGAAACCACCCTTTTGATAATACCTATTCAACAAAAAAATAATCGTTCAAATTGATTTATAATCGGCGGAGATATTGCGTATAAAAAAGTTCATCCCCAATTTTCCACCCTTGGGGGTTGTTTTTTCTATTATTAAATTTAAATGGGACCACCCTTGAGGTATTACCTATACGCCGAAAAAAGATTTGTTCAAATCGGTTCATAATTGGCGGAGTTATCGCGTAACAAACATAGAAAAAAAACATACGGGTCGAATTGAGAACCTCCTCCTTTTTTTTGAAGTCGGTTGAAAAGAGGGTTTTGTTCCCTTTAAGTCCTAAAAATCTGTAGTTATAATATCAAACTTAATTTCAGGCACAAGTGAGCAGATACAGCGAGCGATCGATAAAGGAATTATACCGAGACTTCTACATGTGTTAGCTTCTGAAGATATCAAGTAAGATTATCATATAAAATATCTAAGCTTGGTACCACTATCATTTGAATGAATTATATCGAATGTAGATTTAGCCACAGGACGTCCACTGCTGAACATAGGCCTTCCCCAATGATTTCCACATCGGCCAGTTGGTAGCGGCCTGCATCCAGCGCCTTCTTGCTACACTCCAGAACCTTATCGGCCAAGTTCTGCGTACTATATGACCTGCCACTTCAGCTTGCTAATCCGTCGTGCTATGTCAACGACTTTAGTTCGTTTACGGATCTCCTCATTTCTGTTTCGATCACTGAAAGTTTAAAGAAACACCGTATAGCATAGCCTTTTCCATTCCTTTTTAATACAGTTATCCTTTTCTAATTCTAGATGCCAGAAAGAGGCAGCATGGGCCATAACCAACCTCTGCCTTGGCGGCAGTGCAGGGCAACTGGACGCGTTACTATCGGCCGGTGTTCTGGAGCCCTACTGCGCGCTTTTGGCGTCGCCCGACCACCGCGCGGTGACGGTTGTGCTCGATGGACTGACGAACCTGCTGCAGGTAGGCTTGTGGTGCCTGAGAGGCTTCCACCTACAATAAAATGTGCCTAACAGGCTCTTATTGATTAACAGGTAGGGTTGTGGTGCCTGAAAGGCTCGACAATAAACTGTGTACACCAAATCCGCATTTTCCTGGACTACATTGGAGACTATATTATGACATGACTAGCTTTTGCCCGCGGCTTCACCCGCGCGAAATTTAGTTTGTCACAGATCGTCATAAATTATAGCCTATAAATGTTATTCTGGGTTATAAACAATAATACTGTAAAGTTTCAACAAAATCCATTCAGTAGTTTTTGCGTGAAAGAGTAACAAACATCCAGACATCCAAACTTTCGTCTTTATAATATTAGTAGGATAATGATGATGATTACTAAAGCCCGGTCTGTGAGCACGTAGAATTTTGTCCAATGACCCCAAGCTACCCATCCTTATCGCTCGCGCGTAATTATATTGCTGTCGCGACTGTGCGACGGGCGCCCGCAGTGAGTGTGCGAGCGCGACAGCAACATAATTACGCGCGAGCGATAAGGATGGGTAGCTTGGGGTCATTGGACAAAATTCTACGTGCTCGCAGACCAGACAATAAATAATTTCTTTGTTACAGGCGGCAGTAAAGTACGGTCAAGTTGAGCCTCTGTGTTTGAAACTGGAGGAGATCGGTGCTCTTGACCAGATTGAGACCTTGCAGCAACATGAAAATGAACAGGTTAGTTGGAATCACTCTTCATTATCATCATTTAACCGCCTCTGTGGTCTAGTGGTAAGACCACCTGCTTCAGATACAGAAGTCCCGGGTTCGATTCCCAGTGGGGGCAGATTTTTCTGTTCGGTTTGGTTGGTGGTAGGGCTTGTTCTAAGTCCGCCTGGCTAGCTAACACCATCTTACCTAAGTCTGTCGCCATAACAACAATGTTAACAGCATTGTTGTGTTCCGGCAGTTAGAGGTAAGATAGCCAGTTCCTCCGTGGTTGAGGATTCTGGGTGAAGCTCGCTTCCACCTTCGGCCTGATCGTCACGTACCATCAGGTGAGATAAAAAAAAATCACAGGATGTCCACTGCTGAACATAGGCCTCCCCCAATGATTTCCATATTGACCAGTTGGTAGCGGCCTGCATCCAGCGCCTTCCTGCTACCTTTATGAGGTCGTCCGTCCACCTTGTGGGTGGACGTCCTACACTGCGCTTTCCGGTACGTGGCTTCCACTCCAGAACCTTGCTGCCCTTTCGGCCTACTGCAGAGTAGGTTCCATAAAATAAAAGTCGCTGACATAGTCCGACGGATTAGCAAGCTGAAATGGCAATGGGCAGGGCACATGTTTTTCATTTTTCGTTTTTCGTGGGAGAGCCATGCTTCGGCACGAATGGGCCGGCTCGACCGGAGTGATACCACGGCCTCACAGAAAACCGGCGTGAAGCAGCACTTGTGTTGTGTTTCGCCGAGTGAGTGAGGGTACCGGAGCTGGTGTCCCCCAAGGCTGTGTGCTATCGCCTACGCTCTTCCTTCTGCATATCAATGATATGCTGCAAATTAGCGGCATTCATTGCTATGCGGACGACAGCACGGTTGATGCCACTTATACCGGCCGCGCAAATATCTCTCGGGAGAACGTCATTGAGAGCCGTAACAAACTTGTGTCCGACATTGAAACCTCCTTGAAGGAGGTCTCAGACTGGGGTCGACGCAATTTGGTCCAATTTAACCCTACAAAGACACAAGTTTGCGCGTTCACCGCCAAAAAGTTGCCGTTTGTCGTATCCCGCTGTTTCGAGAGCACTCCCCTAACTGCCTCAGCCAATATCGGAATCCTTGGTGTCGACATATCGAGCGAAGTCCAGTTCCGTGGTCATTTAGAGGGTAAGGCTAAATTAGCCTCGAAGAAGCTTGGTGTGCTCAATAGATCGAGACGGTATTTCACTCCAGCCCATCGTCTGCAACTTTACAAGGCGCAGGTTCGGCCTCATATGGAATACTGTTCTCATCTTTGGGCAGGTGCGCCCCAGTACCAGCTTCTCCCTCTGGACCGCATTGAACGGAGAGCAGCTCGAATCGTTGACTGCCAGGACATTTCGGATCGGCTTGACCCCTTGGCGCTGCGTAGAGATGTATCCTCACTGTGCATATTCTATCGCATGTATCACGGGGAGTGCTCCGAAGAATTATCCGGACTTATTCCTGCCGCCACTTTTCGCCACCGATCTACCCGACAGCACTTCCACCCCCATCACTTAGATGGTTGGCAGTCCACAACAGTACGTTTCTCTAGAAACTTCCTGCCCCGTACAACCAAACTGTGGAATGGACTGTCGTCTGCGGTGTTTCCGGACGGATACGACCTGCAAGCTTTCAAGAGGAGAGCGTATCTTTACCTTAAAGGCCGGCAACGCACCTGTAACGCCCCTGGGTCTGCGGGTGTCTATGGGCGACGGTAATCACTTACCATCAGGTGATCCGTTTGCTCGTTTGCCTCCTATCACATAAAAAAAAAAACATAGCACGCAAAACTGACGGCCGATGGAGCAGCTAATAAAAATATTTTTTTAGATGAAAAAGGTCCCTTGATCCTCAGTGACGCTTTGGTTAGTTTAAAGGGTTATACAGGGCTCATCTTACGCCCGTATTCACAAACATTACTTTGAGGTCTCACAGTGCGCGTGGACGCACAGGGTGACACGAACCAATCACAAAGCTCTATTCAACGATTTGCTGCTTCACTTAAGCAAGCATCGTTTCTGAATACGGGCGTTAGGCACGCTCCACCATTGGATGACTTAAACATTGTTTGTCTTCACAGGTCTACAAAAAGGTGGTGCACATTCTAGACACATACTTCGCAGAGCAAGAGGATGTCTCTGCCCAACCTGCCAAGACGGCGGACGAGTATCAGTTCGGGACCAACGAGCCTAACCCTAATTTTAACTTCTAAAATAAATAATTAGTCCAATACAGTATAATACATAATGCTATTGTAGTACAGTATAATAGATCGTTTCATCCATGAAGACGCGCCCCACCAATATTTGGTCTCGGTCGCGCGGGGTGCGGGGAGTTTGATCCGAGCAATCCGAGCGGCATTATTGTAGTGTGCGTGTGCACTCATGGATGATTTGGCGTGTACCGATAACACTCAAACATTAGCGGAAGAATGGTGGGGCGCGTGTTCGTGGATGAAACGATCTATATCTATTTTGCGGTACAGTACAGATGACTTGCACCAAAATAACAATTTTAACCCTGTATTATAGATTTGTAGATCAAAATCAATTGGGTTAACTACTCATCATTTTGTTGATTCATTTGACTGTACATACAATATTACGAAGTTCAACTATGTATAGTATAGTGTTCAAATTGGTTCCAAAATACTGAATTTTCTTGGCTTTATTCTTCTGATTATTAATATGATCTAATAAGTAATACTTAGGTTTAGTATAATGTTTTCATAAGTGCCTTCATAGATATAATCTTCAGTTAACATTCAGGGTGAAGTATCTTTGTAATTTTGCCATATTTTGCAAGAACTGTCAATGTATTGTAACTTAACCTACAGCTAAAACTTATCTAAAAACATTCCAAGTATTTTAATTTAAAAACTCAGGTTAAAACAGATGAAATATTTCTTGCTTATTATTTTGTAAAAAGCTGTTTTATTGAGGTACAAAAACACAAAATAACAGACTGATATGTGATAATGTTAGTATGTAAGTTTTATTTTTATATCAATTAAAGATTTTCACTTATTTTATGTTTTATTTATTTAAATTGAAGTGTCCGAAAATTAATAGTTTTTTCTGTAACTGTTGAACTTTCAAAATTCTATACAATATTGAAATTGGTAGTATCAATTTAAATCTGAATGCAGAATAGATTATTTAGAATCGTAATCTAAATTTTAGATAATTTCTGAAAATAAATCTAGCATATACAAAAAGCAATACAAAATACAACACTTTTTTCTATGTTTTATTGAATTTCAAGTAGCTCCGGTAATATTGTGAATGTAATATCAATTAATACTAATGATGGGATCAAATCAATTGCAAATAGAAATGTGTTTTACCAGAATTTATTAAAAAAAACTTATTTCTAAAGGAGTTTTGTATGCTAATCTAAATTTTAAGCCTTAGTTTGGTCCTTCAGCTTCTCCAGTTGCTGCCTGAAATGAAAATAAGTATAATATTAACAATTTATATGTTACTAGCGGCTGCCTGCGAAATCGTACGCGTGGATCCTTAGGGGTGGTTTAAAATCCTTTCTTAGCGGATGCCTACATCATAACATCTACCTGCATGCCAAATTTCAGCCCGATCTGTCCAGTGGTTTGGGCTGTCCGTTGATAGATCACTATGTCAGTCAGTCAGTCACTTTTGAGTTATTTATATTTAGATTACGGACAATACTAGACAATGTCAAGAGAGATAATCTCAGACCTATGAGATTGGGGATAAATGGGGTTTTTAGGTATGATCTTGCTCACTGAAACTAACCTCAACTGTTGGTTAAAATCGTCTTGGACGATATCGTCCTCCCAATTATCTTCCCAAACTGAGACATCTTCGTCATCAGCGTCTTCTGTGCCCCAGTCTGTTGAGAAAAAGGAAATTATTAGTACAAAATTGAGATGTGTCCCAGACATTGATGAAATGTGCAAATTTGCTTACTTTCTGCGGGAAATTCTTCGAATTCATCATCCTCCTCGAGCAGTCCAAGATCTACTTTCTGTTTATCAGCCATTTCGAGATTAATTCAACGTTTAAAATTAATTTAGGTCTCAAAAACTGCTCACCGCAAAACAAAAGATGCACTGAAATTAGTGAAATTTGACAAATCACGCTACATGACGCAAGCTGTCACTGTCACAGTGGCTTATTGTTTTTAAATCCTGGCTCTGTCCGTGCATTATTGAGCCAAATATCGAATATCGGTATTTAGAACGTTATTTTTAAATTATTCTGACTAAAGTTTTTGTAAATTACAAATGAACTGATTATAGCCTGGAAATGGGTCCCAAATGCAAAGTTAAAGTCGTTTATTGCGACATCCGGTTACATTATTTTGAGGCGGTAAAACATTATTTTTAGACAGTTGGCAATGTTTGTTTTTAATCGATTACCAATAAATTCATAATTTTAAGGCGATTATCTAATAATGTTTGTATCGATTTTTTAGGGCTTTCAACCTCGCACTAAACTTCACAGTTTGATTATTACTTATATTTTTTTATTTGATTTCATTATTATAAGTTAACAATATTAATTCGACCGTCTGAAAATCAATAGGTACTATTATTTCTGAAATGGTGTAAACTTGCCGATTATCCATTTTTTTATGTAGAAAAATACAGTATCATTTTCTATAGTTTATCTGCTGTTTTCTAAACTCAAAACGCGCAGCAAGAAAAGTCTCAACAACAACAACAACAACAACAACAACAACAACAAACAATAACAACTCAATTGTGGGTAGTAGATGTGGGCTGAAACGATGCTGACATCATTTATTTTTACATTAATTTTGTACCGATGCAAGTTAATAACCCCATGACTCAATGCAAGTTATTAAAAACACGACAATGTTGACATGCGTGGGAAATTTTTGATTGAGTAATTTTTTGTGCCTAGCAGAAACTAATAATGTGCCTGCCTAGCAATATTTCGGATACTAAATTCGGATTTCGAATTAATGAGAATTGGCTCGTTTAAAAGTAGTCATTTTTTAGGACTAAAATTATTGTGCTGTTCGAACTACTTAGTGAATGATAGACACAGATCCTATTCTGTATCTGTAGGAGGAGTAGGTACTGATTTTGGAATATCTCATTTGAAGAAAGCACTTTCATGCTAAGATTGAAACTAGCAGTTAGGTAGGTAGGTAAGGTATAAGTATATAACCATTACCCATCTTGGTTCACTTGCTTTTCAAGTATCTTGTCTAGGGTTTGGATTCTGATAATTTTCTATGTTTATTCGTGCTCGCTGCTTAGGTGTTAATCATACAAATAGTCAAGATTGTATTAGAAGGTTTTACAACTTTGTCTGCTCTTGATAATATTGCTGGAAGAATGCTTACTTAGGTTCAGACCTATCAGTTTACTAAATCTTGAGATAAAAATGTCCTATGATGATAAAATAATGATTGCGGATAAGATTTTACGTTTGTGGAAAGATCTTTTTTCCGATCCATTGTCCCAAACGTTTATCTTCTACCAAAAAATGTTCTGGGTTCAATATCTCTTTGGGTCAATCTATTTTGAGGGGTCAATTTATTCCCTTCGTTTATTTTGGACTGATTTAACTTTTAAAAACAGATGTTTTGTTAGTACGAGAGGGGACCGTTAAGACATACAATCACTCCTTATAAATTGAGAAAAAGTTTATTTCAATCAACTGAGGATCAATTAAGTTATGTCCTGCCTACTCCTGTCCTGTGACCCATGTTTGCTGTACACTGTCGTAAATTTGTGTAGACTCCCAATAGAAACAGTCAATAAAACGATAGAATGTAGTGCCTTGCCAATATTTCTTATTTCTCAAGATAAGATTGGGATACTATTACAAACTGTCTAGCACAAACAATTTATGTGCTTCACTAACACGGTAATTAATAAATCAAACAAATGCAATAGCTGCAAAAAAGCTATCTAAAAAGGTAGGACCTACAATATTAAACAAACTGCAATGCGACTGTAGTATTAATGCAGTCAAGACGTACATCTGAAAAGCACTGAATAAAATAAAAAGAAGTAGGAGGCGCTCGCACGACGGATATTGAGTGGTGGGACGGGCCTAGCATGCGCAGAGACTATTACACAGATTTAATGTGGCATACCACTATAATTAACCTATGCCATGACCGACACTTTCGTATTACGACCTAGTGGACGAAACGATCGTAAATTAACGTTATTAAAACAAGTTTACAAGCTATCTTGGAGGTGTAATTACGCAAAACGTTACGCCGCTGGGTGTGACATCACAAATCAGTCCGGTCAGACTGAAGACAACACGCTGTTGCGCTGTCCCTCTCTGTTGTGTGAAGCTGAAAGGGACAGCTTTACCAGCCAGGCCGCCGCTGATCGTATTCTGTCGTGCTTGTCGCCATTTTCATTTTGACGAATATTGACAGCAGGGCAGACAGACAGTGGCGCGGCGGTCGACAGTGCGTCTGGCAGACTATTTTTATTTTGATTGTGAATCATTTATCATCCATACATCACTGGTTGGAAACGTCCGCGTACTCTACACTGTATTCACTAAACTTAGCCCAGTGAAGTGTGTCGAACAAGTGTAAAATCTCTAGTATTTTGGTGCTAACCTCTTCCTTTTTTTTATTAGTGTTTTTGAGAGACTGCAAGACGTGATCGATATGTGCAAGATGTATTACAGATGACTCTGCGTTAACATTCTGATCCTCGCTCTTAAATTCTGGTGAGTTGTTCTATTTGAGTCTAAAATAGTGTATTTTGTGAATGATACTATTGATATTTGATGCGGTATTCGTAATATGTGTATTTGTGGATTTGAAAATGGTCAGGCTCAAGTTTATATTTGAATATGGAGTGGTTTTGCTCTACAAAATGACAGTCGGCCTTTGTTGCGGTAGTACCAGTTTGTTTACGAACTGTCACGGGCAGTATACGGCCTAAGATATATTGCCTGGGTTGGCGACTATGCGTGGGATGGGGGCGCAGCGGAAAAGTTACCTTAACTTGAAGGAATAGAGTTGAGTTTCAAGGTGTCAGTTCTGCGATAACGGCCCGTAGAATTAATTTATCACGCCGAGCTTGACAAGTTGAAAACATAAATTCGACCTTGCCGCTCCACGTGGTTTTAAGTCATTGCGCTTTCTGCTTTCTTTTCCTTTGCCCGTTTTAGAGGTCGCACCCCTGAATCGATTATGATTTTGGGTATCGATTTTTTTTTGCTTACATTGGCACAACTGTTTGTCATCGTAAATAAATTGTCAATTTGATTGACATGTCAAAAAAAACAAAATTGTATTCCTAATTAATTGATCGTTTGTTTTGATTACATTAAAATTAATTAAAATCTGATTGTGTAATTGCCTAGCCAGTGTTAAACTATTTCGAGATATTTAGCTATCAGGTGAGTGAAATATATTTAAGAAATAGCAAATAAATAATAGTTATTATTAAAATTAAAGCACTTCACTTCACTCGTTCGCTCGTGATTTTAAAAACGTCTCTAATTACAAATGAACATAGCAAATTAAACAAAAAATATCGTCAAGGTATTTTTCTTCAATTTATAAAAATTAAGTAGTATTTACTAGGCTTGTGGCAGACGAGAAAATGCATAAAAATTATGTTCATGTTTATTTAAAACCTTTTTAAAGGCTTAACTAGCACAATTTTACTTCGCAATTTTTAGAAAATTCTTTTATAGATTATTGTAAAAGTAAACAGTGCATGGTGTGCCTTTGTTCTCAGATGTAATTATTAATAACTTAACTATTATTACCTTCTTTTTCTTTTTTTATTTTGGCAACGACTTGGTATTGAGAACCATGATTTCTGTGTGAACCATGGAAAAACAGTCAATTCATTATTTTGCATTATTCATTCAGTTTGGTTCCAGTACTGCTAGGCACCTAGTAGTATTCAATTCTTTCGATTAACACATCTTTCTGATACACAGGTTCCCTGGAAAATTATTAATAATTAGCCAGTTTTTGTGTTGTTTATTTCTCTATTGCTTCTACACTATTATTATAAAGAGGAAAGATTTGATTGTTTGTATTGTATAGGCTCCAAAACTACTGGACTGATTTGAAAAATTATTTCACCCTTAGACTGACTTGACTTAAGGTCCTATGTCCCCTAGATAGGGCAGACGGCATCCACAACAGTCCTCCATTGTGTTGGGTCTTGAGCTTAGTTTGATTTCGCTCCACGGAGATTTTCAACCACGGAGGAACTGGCTATCTTACCTCTAACTGCCGGACGACCGACTTAGGTAAGATGGTGGTAGCTAGCCAGATTTCACCATTAGAATCCTACATTATTCATACCACCTATGTTCTACTAGTAGTATTTATGAGGCCAGTGTTGATGTGAAGTCGACTGTACAAGTTTAATAAGTTTTATTTGCCTGTTTTCACCATCAATCCCTAATTTTTAAGTGACCCCTATGAAAATAATATTCCTGTTGTGTTATCATAGGGGTCACTTCAGAATTGGGGATTGATGGTGAAAACGGGCACTAACAACTTTACTAACATTAATAAAAACTGATTTAGTACGAGGGCTGCACTAAAAGTATCGGGAATGGAATATTTCCACTGTTCCAGTCATATTAAAATCTTTTTAATTGCAAACTCCAGGTTTTTAAAAATCGTATACCATTTATTTATTTAAAAAAAGATTCTCGGTCGTATCACAAGGTCTTGTCAAACTTGTTTAGTCGTTGAGAAAATGGAATTGACTCGAGAAAATTCAAGAGCGATGATTTATTATGACTTTTGAAGTGGTTTAACACAAAAACAGTGTGTTGACCGGATGATTTCTGCATTTGGTAATGAAACCCCATCCAAAACCACAATTTATCGCTGGTTTCCTGAATTTCAACGTGGACGTGTCAAGCTCAGTGATGATCCCCGTCAAGGTCGTCCAAAAACTGCAGTCACCTAAGAAAACGTTGATGCTGTGCGTAAGCTGATTGAAGAAGATCGACATGTGATATACCGCGAAATTCAGGCAACTTTAGACATTGGCATGAGTCAAATACAAATAATCTTGCATGAACAATTAGGTGTAAAAAAGTTGTTTTCCCGATGGATACCGCATTCGCTCTGTGAAGAGCAAAAAGCGGC